ACCACATGTGACGACCCCGGGCTGGATTCCGCTTCGTCCACGGTGAAAGCCGATCCGGCGATCAACAGCGCGAAGTTGATGTATTTCCTTAGCGACCAGCACGGATCAGCTCCAGGCATGATGAAGCGGATATCGTCCTCTTTTGGAAGACCAAACAAAGTAGTTTCGCTTTCACAACGAAACACAGCGTCTCCACGGCATGGCGGCGGCGGCAACAACAATACTACAGCGAGAATAAAAGTTAAGCCTTCTTTCTTTGCGTGAACATTTGGGCGGTGTTATGCAAATCTTCCCACATCGTGACGTAGACATGTGGGGGCGTGTTAGAACGAGCCGTTTTAGGTAGGCGTGGTTGACTCTTAATTTTTATAAAGAATATCTCTTTGGATTTGAGACTTTAGTCTTTGCAACGTTACAGATCTTCTTTATGCACCAAGAGCTTGTAACACTCCAAAGAGAAAGGAAAAATTGAAATCGCATCATATGACCCCTTTAAAAAAAATTCTAACTAAAAGACAAAAAAGCATATAAATAAAACTTAAATTTGAATCATTTTAAATCTAAGAGTAAAAGCATTAAAGCTATTCTGATTAATTAATTGCATATATCAATATTTGCTAAGATAATTATACTAATTGTAATAGGACTTGTGGTGAATGATAGCCTCATGCATTTACTTACAAATCATCCTCACATCCTTTGCCCTGCTATCCCGGTTTAGGTTGCGACTCTCCCCGAGTCCCCCTCCTGTCCGTGGGGTGACTGTGACCCACTCCTCGGGTTCTGGCACTCATACACGTGTGTTCCAGAGCAGCACCAGTCGTACCTCTTCAGGCAGTGCTAAAAAACGTCGTTTGAATGATAATGACAGCGATGTCTCCAGTGTGGTTGGCGGAACCGTTACTCGCACACGCGTCGCGCAGCAGGCCTCTGCCAGCGGCCGTGTGACCGTGGATGAAGTGGACATGGAGGGCAGATATGTTCGGCTCAGTAACAAATCTGACCAGGTGAGAAGGAAAAGGAGCTTTGGGAACCAATAAAAAGGAATTCAGTATTTACTTTTTATTAAATAAATCTTCTTCCTCCAGGATCAAACTATGGGTCACTGGCAGGTGAAGAGGCAGATTGGTTCCGGCACTCCCATCGTCTACAAGTTCCCGCCAAAATTTACCCTGAAGGCAGGACAGACCGTCACGGTATGTTTCGATTTACAGCGTAATAGTCACACTTTTTTAAATACCCGACTCACTGCAGTGTCTCTCTGCTGTCAGATTTGGGCTGCAGGAGCTGGAAGAACCCACAGTCCTCCTTCTGACCTGGTGTGGAAGACCCAGAACTCATGGGGCAGTGGAGATCTGTTCCAGACCACCCTCATCAGCTCCAGTGGGGAGGTGGGATACTGAACCAAACCAGCCAGTTTTTTGAATAAGGTTTTATTTGATTTGAGGTAGCTAAGTGACTCATTCGCTTCCCTTTTTTCTTTATTTGTTTGTATTTCTCTAGGAAATGGCCATGAGGAAGGTCACACGCACTCTATTCCAGGATGAGGAAGATGATGATATGGTACTTAGTCAATTGCACGTCTCAAAATGTTGTAGTAATCTCTTATTTTTTTTGCACGATATATTTTGAGTTTTTCCAGGTTAAATTGAAAACATGAGTTCTTAGGACCAGTGTTGGGGAGTAACTAGTTACATGTAACGGAATTACGTAATTTAATTACAAAATAAAAGTAATTGTAATCAGTTACAGTTACTGAGAAAAAGGATGTAATTAAATTACAGTTACTTATGAAAATGTTAAGGATTACAAAGGGGGTTACATCTGCTTTTTTCACACACACTCTCACATACAGATTTTATTGATTTCTTTCATAAATTGCAGTGATGCCTTGACCCCAGCCTCAGTCCATTCCTTGTGAAGTTCACTCAAATTCTTGAATCGATTTTGCTTGACAATCCTCATAAGGCTTCGGTTCTCTCGGTTGGTTGTGCATCTTTTTCTTCCACACTTTTTCCTTCCACTCAACTTTCTGTTAACATGCTTGGATACAGCACTCTGTGAACAGCCAGCTTCTTTGGCAATGAATGTTTGTGGCTTACCCTCCTTGTGTAGGGTGTCAATGATTGTCTTCTGGACAACTGTCAGATCAGCAGTCTTCCCCATAATTGTGTAGCCTAGTGAACCAAACTGAGAGACCATTTTGAAGGCTCAGGAAACCTTTGCAGGTGTTTTGAGTTGATTAGCTGATTGGCATGTCACCATATTCTAATTTGTTGAGATAGTGAATTGGTGGGTTTTTGTTAAATGTGAGCCAAAATCATCACAATTAAAAGAACCAAAGACTTAAACAACTTCAGTCTGTGTGCATTTAATTTATTTAATACACGAGTTTCACAATTTGAGTTGAATTACTGAAATAAATGAACTTTTCCACGACATTCTAATTTATTGAGATGCACCTGTACTAGACAAAGTCGAGCTACAATCACATAATCGAAATCTATAGTCTGGCATCACAAGTCTAAAGTTTTAACATGACTTTTTAAAAAGATGAATTATTGCTTTAAGTCGACCGAAATCTAACTTTTGAAATGCATTTAAATGCATTTTCTTCACAGTATAAGGTGTATGATGTGTGTATGATGTTTAAAACCACTCTGGTCATAATGAACATCATGTTATTTCTTTACCCAGTGTACTTTTGTTAATGGCTGTTAGTTGGGTTTGTTTTGGGTGTAGCCTTCTCACAGTGAATCATAGCACTAAAATGAACTGAGAGCAGCCAGACTTCATCTCTATAATAAGATCCAATAGGTTCTCAGTCTCATTTGTTCTCTGTTTACTGTCTCCCCCTGCAGGCCGCCCACAGCACATGCGGGGATAGTGAGTACAACCTCCGCAGCCGTACGGTGGTCTGTGGCTCATGTGGGCAGCCTTCAGATAAAAACAGCAGCTGCGTGACGGCCAGCTCTGGAGTGTCGAGTGCGGCGCGCTCCTTCAGCAGTGGAGGGGGGCTGCCTGAAGCATTTGTCTCTCCCTCACACTTTATTGTGAGCAATGACAAACGCAGACAGGTTTGTATTTATTTTATTTTACTGAGTTACATCAGAATTTTGAATTTTCAAATATTTTTTGTTAGATGACATCAAGATGTGTGTAAAAAAAAAAATAAAATGATTGGTTTTTGTCTTAGATTAAAAAAGATTTTTAAAATCTATTTTAATCATTTTTAAACAAAATAATGTATAAAATAATTTAAAAAATCAATTAACTAAATCAATGTACCAAAAATGTTTTTGTCTTATCCTTTAAGTTAGATAAAAGAAAATGCTAAAACAATTTTAATGAATGTGATTTTTATTTAAATAAAAAATTAACATTAAAATAGTAATACAGATTTAATAATAATAATTTTGTTTGTAACTAAGACTAAGAGCATTAACAAAAAATCTGAAAAACCAAGTAGCAAAGTTTTAAAGTTTTTTTTAAATCAAATTTTAAGACTAAAAAGATTAACAGAAAAATGTGAAAAATC